AATATTTCGAACTTTTATCATTAAGTGTTGGTAAATCAAGGATTCAACAGAAAACTTTTGGATTAATGGTTATATGGGCTTTTACAGGAGCATATATAATAATCTAGCCTAGGTGTGATGACGTCATAATCATAAGCTTAATAGCCCACATCGATACGGTAACGTGTGGTAATGACGCGCGTAATGGTTACAGACTTTACTGTTATTTTATTTCCACATACATACGTAAAAGACATTTAGTAAATTATTCTTGTTTATGGCAAACATTAATATGAATATACTCTCTTAAATTAAGAGCGTTTCAGCTTTACTTAGAATTTGTCGTTCTAATTTGTACCGTTCTCATTCCGTTCTATTTTAGGCCTGCTATCACATAATAATTAAATTGAAATGAAAAATTTAATAAACAAAAAAAGTAAATAAATAATCCGCCGTGTGGTCCTGGAACAGAATGGACCACCCCATATCCCCCCATCCCTATCGTAATAGGCGACTAAGAGAGGGCGAGGGATGGGCAGCAGTGACCACCTTAAAACACCTCTAAAAGCCTAATTGTCGTTGTCGACTCGTCTTTAAAACATGGCAACCACTAGCAAAACTCCCCCTATGGGGAAGACTTATGTTCAGCAGTGGACAGTTAAAGGCTGAAATAGTAATAATAAAAATTTTACGTAATATGGCATCCATTCCCCGATCATGTCAAGATCAAAATGATTATTTTATTATTATATCAGTCATTAACTCCACTGCTGGACATAAGTCTTCCCCATAGGGGGAGTTTTGCTAGTAGTTACCACTCGTGACAAGCGGTTTGACAACTGCATAGAGCTTTGGTGAGTACTTCAAGAGGGACGCTGCTACCCATCCCTCGAGCATTAAGTTCCCTTAGTTGCCTCTTACGATAATCATGGACAAGGAAGGTTTGGCCCATTCTATGCCGGGACCTTTAGCATTAAATCCACGTTTTGTAGCATATTTTATTGGCCAATAAAGTTTAAATAAATAAGTGCTTACTATTATATGTACACAGTTAATAAAAACAATAAAATTATATAAGAAGGAGAAAGAGTCAAATGGTTTTTGGCCTTACAGTGGCTTCGTCTACGTAAAATTTATCGGTTATTTAACCTCAACGTATCAGTAATTTAATAAATAGTTCTAAACTATTTTAATTAAACTACTAGATCTACGATTGCTCTTTATTACAACTAGAAACTCGTCTCAACTGTAAATTACTCATCGTTTATCAATTACTAGCTGTTACCCGCGACTTCGTCTGCCTGATTGGGATATATGGTAATTGGCTGAAATAATGCTAACTCGTAATAAGTCTGTAACCTTTTCTGTACTAAACATATAAATGCTCACTCACTGCTTGATCAGTGTGATCTATTTACTTGTAAATTACATTGTTAATGCATTTATAAATGCAGCAAAGTATATTATATATATATATGTGTGTATATATATATATATACATACATACATACATACATATCTGTCACGCCTGTCTCCCACAAACCTCTTCCGCTTCTTCCACATTCATCAATCTTTTCATACACGCTCGCCGGTTACGGGTACTTTTAATTTGGCCCTTCTTCAGCACGTCGCCTATTTGGGCGACATATATATATATATATATATATATATATATATATATATATATATATATATATATATATATATATATATATATATATATATATATATATATATATATATATATATATATATATATGCATATACCAAATTGTTAAGCTGTTAAGCAAATAAGTTGTTAAGGCGCCAAGAAATAACAAACAAATACACAAACAAACTCAGCAACGCACGTGACATCACTGGTGTATAGGCATTCATAGGCTGCGGTTGTCACGTTTATCATCAATCCTTAGTGGATACTTACGTTATAAAAAAAAAAGTTAGTAGTTTTGTCTATGCATTGACAGTCAATCAGAAGAAACGGTTTTATAAGGATTATTATTTTCTCCTTTACCGCTATGACGCGTCTTCGATTATGACGATAAATCTCAAACTCGAGCACTTAAATCGTGCACCGAACGCGAGTCTAGTTCATGCTCGCAAACAGCAATTATTCCTTTAGATTAATCGTATAACTTCAATTTAAACTTTCGCTGTATTCTCTCCGCTGAAGCGATGTAATACTTACTCCTTACAATAGTAATATTATTTCTTCAAAGTTCATTTTATAAGTATTGAGGTTTTTTTTATACAACTTAGAATGGCAAACAAGCTGACGGCCCACCTGATGGAAAGTGGTAACCGTCGCTTATAGTACATAAGCAGTACTATGGACATAACAGAGTATACAGTATCGGTAGCGTAGGCGAAGTTATCATTTTATTATGACCCATTTAAAAAAATCATACTGTACATTAGTTTTTCGTCAAAACAAGCTTCAAATTGTGGTTCAACCCTTGTCACACCCAACTTGGTACATTCAGTTTAATAAATAACTAGTATTAAACACAATAATTTATGCGAGCGTGGTTTTGTACGAAAAAAAATCTAAAAGCAATGTTTGCTCAATTATGTTGTTAGCCATAGGTAAAACTAAGAACTTACCTACACTATAAATTATGTTGTTATACTTCATTTCCCATGGGTGTCTTAATAGGCGACTTAGGGAATTTAATTATCAAGAGATGGATCTGGTGAAACCCCTCTTATGGAAGAGCTTATGTCCAGCAGTGGACAGTTAATAGTTGATATAATAAAAATAAAACAACGTATATATTATCCAAGCCTACATGGCACGACCCTTCTAACGTTTTACTTCAAATTGTGTGACCATATCGTCATAGTCGTAGAATACTGACGGATCTTTATATGTAATATTTGTCAGATTCGTCAGTATTCTATGACTATGACGATATGTAGATGTATGTATAGAGATGGACAGCAGCGTCCCTCTTAAAACATCACCAAAAGCCTAACTGCGGTTTCCAACTCGCCTGCTAAGCGTGGCAACTACTGGCAAAACTTCCCCAAGAGGGAGGTTTATGATCAGCAGTGGACAGTTAAAGGCTGATATTGATGATGATGATATAGACGTGATGCTCTGTTTGTTTGTAAGGAAATGTTTTCAGTAGCTGTCTGGCTAGAGGAGTAATATATTTCTTGGTCTTAACCTTGTAAATATTTTTACTTACACATTTTTAATTCTTTGGATTTTTAAAGATCCTCAATATATTATTGTGAACAATCTGTACATATTATAATCTATATATTTATATATATTTAAGTAAACTTCATTATTCAAGTACGACCGTCAGCAAAAAACTTTTTAGTTCATTCCACTTGAACGTGCTCTTATCTCCATTCATCCCTGCAACAAAGTGAGCCCACCCTATTTTACATAATAGATACGGGAGAGAAAAATAAAAATACACTTGCAAGACGAAAATGAGAATATTCTAAGTTACTTATCATATGAGTGACTGTAATAACCGCTAAATTGGGTGGGTTGTTGCTAAATTATAAACATGAAGGCTCTTCGAAGGAATGTGGGTAAGTGACACAATAATAAAATATATTCTTACGACTTCTGTGGCGCAGTGGTGGTTGTTTAACGTATAATAATGGATAGTAACCCCGAAGAGGAATTAGGAAAGAGATTTATCGAGCAAGAATGAATGGAGATGTCGGTAGGGGCCACCCTAGACGGACGTATGTTGACCAAATAGGCGACGTGCTAAAGAAGGGCCAAATTAAAAGTACCCGTAACCGGCGAACGTGTATGAAAGTATGAAATGTATGCCTACCCTAATGGGAGACAGGCGTGACAGATATGTATGCATGTAGTAACCCCGCTAACGGTATACACTAGTTAGACATCAGTGAGGGATGATAGGTGAGGACGCAAAGGTACGTTCGTTAGTCCACTATAATGAGCACACCTGGGATCCAACACGATGGTTTCCACGAGGAGGTCCACCTAAAAAGGTATATTGGTAGCAATGAAACTAGTATTCCAGGGGGGAGGAAGGATTTGTTAGTTATGCGGACTATCAGTCTCAGTGCTAGCAATATGCCCCATAAGGTCGACCTCTACATGGTCCTCCCTGGAAACCATCGTGCTGAATTCCTGATGTATTCGTCACGACGGGCTAACTGAACTGCCTTTTCATTCTCACCTATCACCCCTCACTGGTGCTCCGACAGTGTATACCGTTAGCGCAGGCGAGGTTACCATTCCATTAATATTAATAAAAAAAAACTGGTATTCCCCACTACTTGTTAGTAGTGAGGAATACCAGTTTTTTTTTCTCTTTCCCTCAGATGATTTGAATTTAAAACTACGTATATCTTAAATTGGTCATTAAAAACCTGTCCGTGATCGACTAACACCATGCACATTTAGTCATAGTCGTAGAATACTGACGGATCTTTATATGTATTATTCGTCAAATCCGTCAGTATTCTACGACTGTGACGATTTCTCATTCAAGTAATCGTTTAGTTTGCAATAGGCACATATACGTACTACTCGTATGTATATATTTTTATCTCTATCTTTATTTTGACACCCTAAATAAAAATCTCCTACTTATTTTTGATAACTTTACATACACTGCCTTGTTTGATACTTCCAGTTTATTAAAAATTTTACATTTTAAAAAGTGGCCATTAAGGCTGCACACGCGACGGAAGCTTAAAAATGGAGTAACATCTCCCGTTTTCCCAACATTTCTCTTCACTGCTCTGCTCCTATTGTTCATAGCGTGATGAAAAGTATACTATGGGCAGGTTGCCCAGGAGAGTGAAGTTGTTCAAGTGTTAAAATCCGTCGAGTAGTTTTTGTTTCTATAACGAACATACAGACAGACAGACAAAAATTTTACTGATTGCATTTAAGGCATCAGTATCGATCACTAATAATCCCCTGATAGTTATTTTGGAAATATATTTCATGTACAGAATTGACCCCTCTACAGAATTATTATAAGTATAGATAAAAAATAAATATTCTATTGCTTCAGAGAATCCTACCCGCTCACGCCGTTGCCAGACGAGGTGGGAGGTGGAGTGATCTCCGAAGGTCCTTCCCTGCTGTTAGCCGCGTGGACACCAAAAGGCCACGGTCTGATCACAGTCAAGGATTATGATATCTACTACCGCCCGGCTCCTCGCTCCTCGACCGGATATAGAGTGACTGAAAGCGGAATACCCGGCACTATTCATAACGGAGTTCCGGATTGGTTGTATGAAGGTAAGATTTTTTTATTATAATCGAAAACAAGCCGAAATGCAAGTCACGCAGAATTTGCGAGGTTGTGCTCGTCGACACCATTCGGTCTCCAGTAATAGTGACCGAGTTGGTCTAAGAGAACCGGTATTAAAATTAGAAAGGGCATGCTACGGTGTCTTAGGCATGTGGAAAGAATGCTAGACAAAAGGTTGACATTGTTGTTTGAAACAAATTTTCGAACCGATACGACGTCATAACCTTCAAGAAAAGAGCATATTTCTTTTTAAAACGCCGCCAATACACCTACATGGGCGGCGGTAGTCACTTACCATCAGGTGAGCCGCATGCTCGTTTGCCCTCTATGTTATAAAAAAAAAGATTTACGATGCCTTTGTGACAACTCATGAAAATGCAGGAAATAAGAAATTAATGCAAGATAGATAGATAGGTATTTGGCATGTGGAAAGAATGTCAGATGAAAGATTGACAAATCAGATTTACGATGCAAATGTGAAGAGATCAGATAGACTATGTTATTTTTGAGAGGAGGAATTAAAAAGTCCTTGAAATCAGCGTGCATGCATGAGACAACTCATGGAAGTAAGGAAGTAAGAGATTAAAGTAAGGATAGATAGATCTTTAACATTAATTGTATTAATTAATAAGTAATTTATTATACTATTACAGTACATGTACAAGTTCAAGGTACATACAATCGAATAAGACATTTTAATTTTCCAACTCAAAGCAACGGAATGATCATTTTATTCTGTTAAGCGCGTTGTAAATGAGGGACTCAACCTGGGGTTTTATCTTAATGACCTCCCACGCCCCCTTTCGGTTCATTTGAGAGACTGACTCTTGCCAGATTTTAAGACTCCGTCGCCCCTTTCGTGTATAAAAGGGCATATTACTCTTAAAAGTCTGGGATTTGTAAGTTCGATCCCATCAGTACTGTGCTCAGTGAAATATTGGGCTCGAGGCACACCAGTCCTATTTTTAATGAGTGTCGTAACGTTAATGAGAGATAACTGATGCGGACGAAAGCAAGTCGATTATTGACGAACTGCGACATATATATGTTATATATTGCTAAGAAATCTTTAGATACCAATCGAATATTTTTAAAGTCAATTTAAAAGAGAAGACATTCTCTCGAATCCCGTGAAATGGAGTGACTCCTAAAACGATGTTTCCTTTACGGAACATGAATTTTCAAGATGGGATACGGATATTATGATGATATTAAGATGGGATACGGACGGGTCTCTGAAGTGTCACAAAGCACACTAGTGTTCATGACAATCTATTAATTCTGATAATATATGATTCAATAACAAATACACGGTATTGTCCCCATTCTCCTTGTTGATCCCATCTTGCAAAATAATCTGTTTGCAAGATGGTATCAACACGGGAAACGCACGTTAGTTGATTACAAAATGATTATCAAAGATTCTGATGAATCGAGAATTTTCCTTTTTGGTTATCGTTTAAAAATAAAAAAATACTGCCACGTTTTATTATATTTTTCATGCAAAAAACAGACAAAAATGAAAAATGTTCAAAGGGAGACGATTTGACAAACCGAATTACTGTAGCAGTCAAGCGGAAATGTCTAAGAGTAAATTTTAATTTTCTCTTTTATTGAATTCAATATTTATCGATAATTGTTTTCTTTCAATAGGCCTGACCCAGTTCTGTCGGCATTGAAGAAAATGTTTTTGATCCGTTGGTATTTTACGTGAGCTTGCAACGTAACCATTTATAATTGGTATTGATAGTAGCTATCAATATCATGATATTTTTAGATACCAGGAAGCCAGAAGGCTTGAAGAATTGATGTACAAAAAAAACTAGAGACGTAATATTCTATAATGTTCATGTTGACATGTAATAGTTATGATTCTCCATTTGGTAGACCGTGAGCTCATTTACCATTCCAAGTAACATAAAAAATAGACTAAAAAATAGTAGTGAAAATACAGCGAATTCAATTAAATTACGAGTGCATTATTTAATTAAATGCGCTCTATTTACAATTATCATACTATATAAATACTCCTAATTTAGAAAGCAGAGGCTAGAAATAGGGCTACTTTTAAGGACATGGTGAATAGTATCTTGGAAGAAACGATAAAAGCTAGAAGAGTAAGAAGACCAAGAAATAAAACGTATGACAAAAGTAAAACCTTTTATTTATACAACTTAGAATGGCAAACAAACTGACGGCCCACCTGATAGAAAGTGGTAACCGTCGCCTATAGACATGAGTAGTACCATGGGCATAACAGAGTGTAATGTTTCGCCCATGATACCCCCCATGCGTTGCTGTTCCTGAGGACTCAGGTATTATTCCTCTGTACCCAGTAAATTCACACCATATCCCACCCTTCAAACCGTAACATAGCCATGCAAACACAACTGCTTCACGGTTGAAATACGAATGGGACAGAGGTACCCAAGCAATCGAGTTTTGTACAAACTCTCCCTCTGGTAACAAAAGCTAAAGGTTATGTAATCTTAAATTAAGAATATGGGCTGAGATAGAGTAAATTTGAGACAAATATTAGTCGCCTCAACAAGAAGAAACTCTTACATTGCAAAAATAAAAAATAATAAAAACAAACGTGCATCAGTGAGACATGTAATAATAAGGATGAAATAAGAGATGTAAGAGACAGAGAACTTTTCTCTGCCTACCTCAAAGATTTTGTATGTTGGATATGTTCTTGATATTCTAGGCGTTTGTACATTAACATTAATCAAGTCAACTACCAGGAGAGCATAGCACGACTACAGTAAATTGCCTTCCATTTATACTTTGACGTCATTTCATATTGCACGATGCATTTACTTGCACGGATCTGCGTCAATGCGTAACGTATCGTGCCAATATAGTTATTGTGATATACAGAGTGTTATAAAATTTTTAATACCTTTTTTTATAAATTAATCATAAAAATATAATTTAACATGTTCGTAACTATAGTCGTGAGATACAGATTAAATTGTTTTATAGGCATAATAAGAGAAAAGTTATAAAATTCAGTATAATTTCATTCAGTTTTCTTTCAACCTGTTTAAGAAAGAATTTGAATGAATGAATTTTAATGTTTTCCTATAATATCATCAAAGTTCATGTAATAGTAGTCATATAATTTATATTGTAAAAGCTAAATAAAGATAAATGTAATAATTATTCAATTTCACAAACTTTATTATATTAATCATAGTAAATTTTAACAAAGCCCATAATATAACTGAAAAGGAAAATAGATATTCAATTGTAGCACTTCTTATCAAAAGATTAATGATGTCATAAGAATATTCGACAAAACGGATGGAAGATTAAGGGAATGATAAGCATAAAATTATGTAGGTACTATAAAGCACTACTTTATGTAAGAGTCGGCACTGCCATTATGTTGACAAAACTGGAAAATGAATCTATGCAACTAATTAGAAGTATATAGAAATATTATAAGCGTATGTAATTTGAAATAGCAATATAATGAAATCATTAATAAAAAGAACTAGTGAAAGAGATTACTCCAAAAGTATAAATGACATGAGTGACATACTTACTCAATTCGTACGGATAATGCCATTAGTTTGCCCGTAGACAAATATTTTCGTGATTGGTCACACTTCTGTATTTTGCTTGTATTAATATATTTTTCTATTACTGTTATATCTATTAAGACCGCAGACACCTTAAACTATATTTAAAAATATCATCGTAATAAAATAAATTAATAGTAGTACATAGTGTTTTACATTTGCTTCTGTCCAAAATATCTATATCAAGAGGTATCATAAAAGACTTAACCACATTATAGAGAAAAAATAAAATTCAATAAATTATAGCATAGACTTCATAAGAACTTTTTTTATTCGAAATGACGTGTGCCTAGTCATACTATACTCAATTACACGATTGTTTTTTTGAATACTCGTAATAGATTATTTAAATAAATAATAGACAGAGACTGTACACAGAGTACTTTTTTCTGTTCTTTTTTATTGTAATAATTACGTAATAATATATATTTATTTATTTTATATAGACAACTACTCACATAGGTACTAAGAATTTGTCTATGAAAAACTATCAGAAATAAACTTTAATAACAACAATTTATTTTTATGAACCTGTTCTTCGTTTACACGTTGTTAAATTGTATTCACACGAACATATGGCATTTAGTGCCTAGCTATTAACATAACATTGTTATATTTGTACCCAAAATGTTTCCAGTTTTAAACATACGAAGCAAATTTATCATCTCTTTATTTTACAGTATTACATAGTGCAACATACTTGCGTTGCATTTTGGCAACAATCCAAATTCGTACAGCGATTAATTATTTATAGTAAATGTCGGAGAGCAATTGATACACTATTTATTAATGCATCAAGTTATTGTATTTATTTTTATGATCAAAAGCGAGTATAAGAAAATAAACAAAAAATAGCACCTTTAATTTTTATAATACTTCAGTTTTTTTTATAAGCTTTTTTATTTTATTTACGATGATGATATTTGTATTTAAAAAAAAATATTTAAAAAAAACATCAATTAAAGATACAGATTCCATTAATTCTATATTTGCGTTCGACAATGTGCGATTAAAAAAAATACAGTGTTATTTATTAGCTAGCGACTTACTCAGACTTTTTATGAGCGCAAATTATACATACTCAAACTTTCCATAAAAAAAATATCTAAACAATAATGTAGCTCCTGACATAATCAATTGCATGTTTTGGAAGAACGTGGATAGCGACTTCATTCAATTTTATTTTTTATTAAAAGAAAAACCAACACATAAAAAATTTCATAATGAAAAAACCAATTACAAGTTGTATCACATGCAAATGACATCAATAATACTTACAAACAACTAATTTTAATTTAAAATAACAACAGTATAGTTATAAACATTATAGGAAGGCAGTTCTGCAAAATAAAAAGTTGAAATCACACGTTCAAAGTGTTGTAAAAACTCTATAGTCG